ACAGGTGCTTCAGGGCTGGGCAGGGCATCATGGAAACCAGCCTGGCTCTTTTCAGCAAGCTGGAGACAAGCTGGGGATACAAAGAGCCCTGCCAGCAGCCCCCACCCTCTGATCCTCACGCCAGAGGCTAGGTGTGGGTATAAATAATTGCAGAAGCCTTGATTATGAGGCAATATGTCAATAGCAAAGCCAACCATTCCTTTCCATCTTTTACCCCCTCTCCTCAGAAACACCTTCGGCATCATCCAGTTACCTCCCAGGCCCCGGGAAGATCAGCGACTCCCTTGGCAGCCATCTCAGCAGACCCTCTCAATAGGCCCTTGCTTAAATTTGCTAAGAGTCCTCCTGTAGGCAGCATGGGCCAATGGGTTGCAGCTAACTTCGCCTCCTCAGTGCGCTCACCTATGACTCTGGCTCTCTGTCACCTTACCCCGGTAGGGAGAGGACCTGCCCTGCTGCACTCCAGCTGCGCTCTGTCCCCTGAAGGTCCGCACCCTGGGAGCGTGGTGCTCCTTGTGATGGTGCTGAAGTGGTGGAAGCTTTGCCAGGTGAAGCCTAGTGAAGGAGTGTGGGTCATGGAGGTGCCACCCTTATAACACCTGTCTCAGTGTTGGGAGCGCTGAAGCTGGAAACTGATCCTATGTGGGAGGCAGGGCAAGGCCTCAGGGCCTATAAGGCAGTCAAGCTCACTCAGTCTTGAGAAAAATACCCCGCCTGTTCAATTTCAGCTGTTAGTCGCTAGGCAACCTTGTCTCCTGATACTAACTTTGCAAGGGTGTAAATAAATGCCCCTCCCCAGTGTGGTTGGGGGAGTCTTGCCAATCAGGCAAACGGTTTCCACCTCACCCAGCTCTTGTCTCTTGTCTATCTTTTCCTCATTCCTGCTGCCATTTCTCCCCAGGGTACACCGAGAAGGCAACGAGTCCCTACCCACAGGAGTGAGTTAGGTATCACAGGACTGGATTAGTTCTCAGGAGAGTGAGGCCACCTCGTACACATGGCCCCTCTGCGTGCAGCTCTTTTGCCTTCTCTCTGCCATATGATGACACAGTGAGAAGGCCCTTGCCAGAGGCCAAACAGATGAGGGCACTCCATCTTGAACTTTCAGCTTCTAAAACTGTGACCTAAATAAACCTCTTTACTTTATAAAGCACTCAGCTTCAGGCATTTTTTATAGCAACACAAAATCGATCAAAACAGAGACCCACACCCATGCTCTTCCCCACAAACTCATTGGGTTCTTCAGTGTTCTCCTGAAACTGATATTGCTGTCAACACATAGACAGGAGCACCGAAAATCAAGAGCTCAGTACACTGGAATGAACACATCTGCTGGGAGCTGCAGAGCCCGAGCCGCGCTCCTCACTAAGTGATGCACTAAGGTCTAATGGCTTTGGTTTCACCATCTAGAAGGGGCAGAGATTAGGCAAGGGCTTCTCCCGAGGGCCTTCTGGAGCTAAGGAAGAGGTGCCAAATTGTGTGCCTCATCCCCAAGAGTCACCGAGAAGAGGAAGTCCTGGGTCTTAGGATCTCATCATTAGGTGATGTATGTTTATACAGACAAATAAGCAACCTGCGGCCATCTGAGCAAGCTGCCACAGCAGGCAAATGAGCTCAGAGGTTTGCACAGGAACTTGCTGGGAGCTCAGGACATGCTTGACAAGTGGGGCTCCAGTGAGATGGCCATGAAGGAGGGTGAGGAAGGGCATTCTAGGGCTCAAGCAAAGGTCCAGAGAGGTAGGCACACACATGACCAGGACCCAGCCTGTAACAGTGCCAGCTGCAAAATCCAGGACAGGTGATAAGGAGGGTCCTGCAGCCTCTTCTGCTGCACACCCTTACATCCTCTGACTCAAAGGTGATGAGGATCCCACGCTTGCCCTTGGAGGGCGTGGGGAGAAGTCTTTCACATCCATAAAGCAAGATGCTAGTGAGTCTCAGAACCTGCAGAGCCCAGGTTCCTGCAGGCATCTGGCCTGCTGTAAACATCCCTCCTGCTGCACAGTGACAAGATACTGGCAGGTGCGAATGCCTGCCAGCCAGGTCAGCAGAAGTTCACACCTAAGTCTGTCATAACTGTGTCGCACTGAGGCTGCTCTGGGAAGCAAGTGGCTGGAGGAGGCTCACTGGGAACGAGGATGTGTCGGCTAAGCAGCAGACACTTAGCTCTAAGGGCAGAGATGGTGGATATGTCCTGCTTGTAACCTGCACAGGGATGGACTGGGCACACTGGCCTCCCTCACAGACTCAGGGCCACTGACATAGGACAGAGAACCCTTTGTAGAGATGAAGACACGGAGGCCAAAGGAGAGAACATGGTCCAAATGAACCCACGAGAGAAGTCAGAGGTACAGGCAGGCATAGAGTCCAGCCCAGACACCTCTACTGGTGGATGGCAGATACTGCAAGGCCAAAACTACCACATGTTTTGTGACACACAGAAGGCAGAATGGAAGAGTTTCAGAAGAGAGAAGCATCGAAGAGTGTCAAGGGCTGGGCAGCTGGAAGATGCTGAAGACAAAGAGAAAGCTCTGAATGCGGCACTCAGGAAGCAATGGAGCACAGGACTGTGAATGCAGGTGTAGAAAGAAAGTGCAGAAGCAAGTAGAATCCTGCAAGGCAGAGACAAGATGGACAGAAAGGGAAACTGGAGGGGCAAGGCAAGAAAACTCAAGGTGCTCCAAGTGCACGACCTGGGTCTTCTCAGCAGGTTAAGGTAACTACGGTACAGTTTTTATGGGGACAAGACTCTATGTCTGCTCCCGAATCAGAAGAGAACCGTGGCGCACTCAGGTGTCAGTGAGGGACTGACCAGGCTTGGAGTCCAGCTCGGGGCTGGGGCTTGGCTGGACCTGTGTGCTGTGCTGGTGCCAGGAGGCACAGCCGGAACTCTCCAGCAATACTTGGCAGCCTGCGAGAACCAGCAAAGGGAACAGACGGGCCTGTGCACCGTGGTGGGGAGTGGGATGCGAACCAAAGTCTTCCTGGGGATGTAGGTGAGACAGCAGAGGTTTGGTGCAGGTGGGAAGGAAGGCACAGGTGGCAGGAGGCTGGATAAAGTAAAAAAGATAGAATGGGATGGTTCTGGGCCAAGACCAGAGGGAAGACGGATGGACTCAAGGGCACTTATTAGGGGATGACGAATCTCAGAGATCTGGATCTGGGAATGATACCAGGACTCATAGGGGATCTATGTGAGGGCTGCTCAAATGAAGCTTAACACCACGGGAGCTAGAAGCAGGAGGAGTACAAGGGTGAGTTTAGCCGGGTCAACTTAGCAGGACCCATTTCAAAATAAAGAATAAAAAAGTATTGGGATGTAGCTGAGGATGAAGGCCCTGGGTTCAATTTCTGGAAAGGAAAAAGAAACAGAGGAGGAAGAGAAGCGGCAGCTTATGTGGGACAAAAGAGTATCTGGAATACGTAGAAGGGTCAGCAACTTGAATCCTGAGGTTGCCTTGGGGAAGAAAAGAACCAAGACCAGAGGCCTTGAGTGAAGGACAGCCATAAAGTTAGAGGACAGGACACTGGGTGGCTCCACTTAAAGGAAGACAAATGGATAGGGAGACAGAAAGGGCGCCCTTGGGCCACAGTGAGTCACCCACTGAAAAACAGACCATTTAGTCAAGGGGGTGACAGTTGTGGGAATAAGGGAATCTGTTGGAGGCAAACAGGAAATGCTGGTGCATATGCATAGGGTGGGCACGCTTGCACGCACACAAACACACACACACACACACACACACACACAAACCCCTCCCCCAGGCGCTGCCAGGGGCCATTTCTGTCCAGATTGCACTCTCTACCCAAGTCCTGGACCTCACTGAGATTCTCTAGCGAACTCAATTCTGGGGCCCCAGTTCTGAGCATCTTACACTCATCACATGTGCTTCTCCAGGAAGTAACAGGAAGTGTATTTCAGGAGTGGGCAGCTGTAGGTCTCTAGAAGAAACACTGTCTCAGGGATTTGCCCTTTAACACACCGTTTAAGGGGTACTCACTCCTCCTCTGTCCATCTCTCCCGTGGTTTAATTTTGGTTACCTTTTTATCACCTGTCATATTATAGAAGCATGTTTGCTACTAAATTCACAATGCTTAGAACAGGGTCCAGTGTATAACAGGCACTCCATAAACATTTTTATTTTATTTTAATGTATTTGATACAGGGTCTCACTATGCAGCTCGGACTCACAGTGATCCTCCTCTTTCAGCCTCTCCAGTGCTGGGATTACAGGCGTGCACCACCACACCTGGCTTTGGTGGCTGGCTCAGCGCGCCTGGGGCAGGGGCTACACAGCATGTGGTGCCAGGGATCAAACCTGGGTCCCTTCACTTGCCTAAGCAGGCGCTTAGTCTGCTGAGCTATCTTCACAGCCCCAATAAACATTTTTAGATAGGTGAACAAATTACCTGTGAAATCCAATGCTAGGTCTTGTTGGGAAGGACCATGAAGCTGTTCATTTTTACTATAGCAAGACTGGGTCTGGACTTATGGAGGTCACCCACTTTAACATCTTCCCTGGGAATAGTTCTGCCTCCAGGAAAGCAGGTCCTTGAAGCCTGTGGTGACTTACCCCACCTCCTGGAGGCGGCCTGTCTCGAATCTCTCTGCCCTGGCTGGGACTGAGCTGTGTTTACAGAGCCCATGCTCTTGCAGCCAGACTGCGAGAGGCAGGTGGTGCAGCATCATTGGAACTATTTCTGCAATACTTCCTCTCCTTCCTGCCTACCCTAGAAATGGGTCCATAATGCGTTCTATGCTCAGCAGCATTTCTTCAGTGCTCCAGGGGCATAAACGCTGGTTACCGGCTACCTGGTGGGGGGCCTTACGAGCTCCGTGGAAGCATTTCACTCAAGCACCATCACCACTGCCAATGCTCATCCATGGAGCAATATCACAGTTTCATTTCTATTTTTCTCTACCAATTTCTAGCAAGCATGAATCTGCAATTAGCATGAAAAGCCAATCTGTCCTGAAATGAATCAGAGCAATACATACCGTGACCTGGGCAGAGTCGAGGAACTGGAGGCCAAAGTAGTCTGTCTCCACAAGGTCTAGGTGGTACACAATCTGATCAAACAAATCCTGGCCTTTGGCATGTTTCTGGAAGACAAATGGGTAGAGGAAGAGACAACATGTAATAGCCAGATAAGTAACATAAAAAGACTCAAAAAAGAAAACACTTCTCTAAATTGAATCCATTTTTTAAGAAATTTAAATAATTTAAGTATAACAAACTCATAATTAGATTCAAACATCATATAAGGGTATGAAGTTAAAAACCCAGATCACTGCTCTTTTTTTTTAAGTCCTTTATCCACAAGGTTTTTTTTGTTTTTTTGTTTTTTTTTTTGGCAGAACCAGGGATTGAACTCAGGCCCTTGCACTTGCCAGGCAAGCGCTTATTCTAATGAGCCATCTCCCTGGCCCCAGATCACTGCTCTTAACGCTTGGTAGCCTCTGCTTGCAAAAAGTGTGCTTTTGGGATGAAAGCCCACACGTTGTGATCAAACACTCTTGAGGCGGCATGACAGGGCTCTGCTCTACACAGCAAAGCCTGGGCAGGCTCTCAACACAGGCAGCCGCACGACGTCTGCTCCATTCTTTGCAGCTGGCTCTTCCAGCCTTCTGATTCCACAGAACAGGTAACTACAGCCCAGAATGAACAAAAGACTTGCTGCAGGCCACAGGCCACAGGCCACAGAGCCAGGGCTGGAATCTAAGCTCCAGTCCATCCCAGGGTTCTGGCTGTGTGGTACATGGATGGGGCCCGGTACAAAGAAGGGTCAGACCCAGGGGATCAAGTCTCTCCCCACCACTTGTTAGTAGGTGTGTCCTGGGCCAAATCCTCCCTCCTTAGGCTTCTTTGTCCTGTAAGTAGGCCTCTGATTGCTGTTCTCCCACCTGTCCCTGGGAGATCCTAAAGGAGAAAACACTGAAGTCCGTTACAAAGCATAAAGGCTCACCAGTACTCAAACCGAGTGCAGGTATCTCTCAGGTAAAAATGGTGTCACTGCGATGAAAACAAACCTCACACAAGGGCTAAAGGACCAACTCCTTCTTATGAAACTCGTGAAAAAAGGGGAAGAATCCAGCGCTGGTCCTGCCTTTACATAGCAACGGGTAACCAAAAAGTGTATCATAGAGCAGAACACACAGAATTAACCCTAAACAGATCAGAAACCTAAAGGTAAGAATCTAATTGATAAGAAGTCTAGTCTCAAAATAGAGGCAAAACTGCTGCCTGGTCTGCTCCAGCATGACTCTGGCCTTCGTTGCCTCCGCCAGTAGGGGGCACAATCCAAAGGAGCCAGGGCAACTGAGGAAGCTGTATATTGGTGGTCTGGGCTTTGCAACTACAGATGACAGTGTAAGAATATTCTGAGCAACTGGGCACCCTCACATATCGTGTGTAATGAGAGACCCCCAAATAAAATGCTCCAGGGACTTTGGTGTGGTGACTTACACCTGTGTTGAAGAGGTGGCTGCAGCACTGTGCGCTCAACTACACAAAGTGAAACCAAAGGAACGGTTTCTAGACAGGATTCTGTAAAGTCTAGCACTGATCTAACAGTGAAGAAAAATTCTGTGGGCAGTATTGAGAGACTACTTTGAAAAGTACAGTGGAAACCACAGAAATTGTGGAAGACAGTCAGAGCCGAAAAAAGAGAGGATTTGGCTTTGAAACTTGATGAAATAGGACATTATTAGTGCACAGTAATTGCGATGTGGAAAGGCCCTTCTAAAGAGATGCAGTCTGCTGGATCATACAGAGGTTGTGGAGGTGGATCGGCAACTTCATAGGCTGTGGAGGAAACTTTGGAAGAAATGTGGAGGGAATTTTGGCTGTGGCGGAAACTGCAAGAGGAGGCTGTGGTGGTGCAGGAGGTGGCAGCAGAGGTAGTTATATGGAAAAGGTGACAGTGGAGATAACAGAGTTGGAGGTGATGGTGGTGTCCCGGTTACAGCAGTAGAGGAGGCTACAGTTGTGGATACCAAGGCAGGGGATATGGTGGTGGAGGAAGATGATGTATGATGGTTACAACAAAGAAGGACATTTTGGTGGCGGTAACTACAGAGGTTTTGGGAACTATAATAATTCTAGAAATCATAATGGATAATGGCTATCAGATTACAGAGCCATGAAAGAGGCGGCAGGGTGGCAGTTTTGGTGGAAGAAGCTCTGGCAGTCCCTGTGGTGCTAGCTATGGATCTGGTGGTGGACACAGTGGATATGGTAGCAGAAGGTTTTAAAAACCAACAGAAAAGGGCTGCAGTTCTTAGCAGGAGAGAGAGCAAGGGGTGGTCAGGAAAGATGCAAGTTACTTTGCGATAGTCACCCAGATGCATCAGAGGAACCGGAAAATTCTGCCATAGAGGGAACGATGAGCCACAGTCAGAAAAGTTACTACAGCTTCAGGAGGAAATCCTTCTGGCTCAGGATAGCCACAGTCACAGCTTGCAAAAAGTGCAGCTACCGATGGATCCAGGGTAGTGTCAATTAGATGTACATTCCTGAACTTTTATCTTTTGTAGCTTTGTCTTTTTCTCTTCATTGCATCAGATACATTGCCCTGTAAATTGTGGCAGTAGTACCAGGAACAAAAACATATATATATATATATATGGACTTTTAACTGTTCTTTTCTTTTTTCTTTTTCTTTTTTCTTTTTTTTTTTTTTTTTTTTTTTTTTTTTTTTTTTTTTTTTTTTTTTTTTTTTTTTGGTATGTATTTGGTACAGGGTCTACAGGGTCTCACTACATAGATCGGATTCATAGTGATTCTCCTGCTATCAACTTCCCAAGCACTGGGATTACAGGCACACGCCACCATGCCCAATCTCAGTCCATGTCTCAGCATGCCCCAGGGATGAGGCCAGCACTGCATGCCAGGATCGAACCCTGGCCACTGCGCTCTGCCTAAGCAGGGGCTTTAGTCTGCTGAGCTATCTGGCTGGCTTTTCTTCTTTCTTTTCTCGTTTCCCTCCCTCCCTCCCTTCCTCTTCCTTCCTTCCTTCTTTTTTTCCTTCCTTCCTTTTTCTGATACGGGGTCTTGTTAAGCAGCTCAGACTCATTGTGATCCTCCTGTTTTCAGCCTTCTCAGCACTGGGATTATAGGTGTGTGCCACCACACCCAGACTCGGTGGCTGGCTCAGTGTGCCTAGGAGGCGGGGCTGGCATGGCATGTGGTGCAGGGGATTGAACCCCAGTCCCTGCACTTGCCTAAGCAGGTGCTCAGATCACAGAGCTGTCTCCCCAGCCTACTAACCTTTCAATACTTCTGTGGATCAATTTTTCTACATTTTAGTAGAGAAACTTTAACCAAATACAGTTCTGAAGGTGCTTCCTTGAGTAAACAAGATCACTGTTAATCACTATTTTGTACAAATTTTGCTAAAGTTTGTTGTGAAGGAACACCTACTGACTTTCAGATTGAGGGGAATGACTCCATTTTCTCCATTTCAAGCCATGATACACATGGGCACTGAAGTGTGGAAAGCAATATGTGTATGTTTGTAATGTGTTTAATTAGCATATTTGTGAATTTAATACCATTGCAATTACTTTCAAAGGAAAAAAACCTCAAAATTTTTATTGGTTTTTGTGCATTTTCTTTCATAATGTACTCATGATTTTATTGTGCTAGATTTGCAGAGTCCTAGCTTTGTCAAAATATCTCCATTCTCCATTTACCTTGGTCATATTTAAACTGCTGCGATAGGCTTTGGGTATAAAAAAATGCCTACTGCCCTACATTTAAATTACAGAAAAGGGTAGTGAATGTTTTTCGTGTCCCATCTTTAAAAAATCACTATTTCTTTTTCTTTGTACCTGGAATCAAACTCACGACCTAGTCCTTACCAGGCAGGCGCTGTGCAGCTGAGCTGCCTCCCTGGCTCATCACCAGCCTTTTAAGGTGTAGGGCCACTAAGCCTGCCATGTCTGAGTAAATCAGTGGCTGCTTAGTTTATTTATTTATTTTTTGTTTTGTTTTTAAAGCACACAAGTGGCCCAGTCATTTTTAAATCTTGAATTACTTTTTTTTTTTTTTTTCTTCCCCCAGTACAAGCTTTCAGAGCAGGAGAATAAAAACCATGCATTACTGAACATCTAACTGGCGGGCATGCTTTCTTCCTGTTTCTACCCTACACGTTTTGCTGAATGGAACCAGGGACAGTTTAGGTGTAATTGTTCAAAATAACTTAATGCAGCAGAATGTAGCATAGTAGCTTGGTACAAGCATCTCACTTCTCAAAGACTCAAATTCAAATTTGGATAATCTTCAAGTCCTTAAATTTGTAAGGAACACATTGTGTTATTCCCTGTGTGTGTTTTATCTCAGTCATGTTGGTGTGAGTTTTAGATTTTTTTGGACAACCCTATTTGAGAAGAGTTTTAGATTTTAAGGATGGACATATATATATATATATATAGTGCTTGGCAAAACAAACAAACAAACAAACAAAAAACCACACACAATCTATAAAACTCTTAGAATAAATCCTAGGCACAATGTTTTATGACCTTGGAGTAGGCAATGGTTTATAAGATATGACACCAAAGTATAAGCAAAAAGACAGAAAAGCTGACACCAAAGTATAAAATTTTACATTTCAAAAGGCATCAAGAAAGCGTATCCCAGAACAAAAGAGTTTTTGCAAAAATCATGCAGTCGGCCCTCCCTGGGGGCAACCTACTGACTCCAGTACCAATTTAAACAGTCTAGCATCTGTATGTGACTTATCCAATCCTCTCCTGTACTCTAAATAATTTCTAGATTACCTACAATACCTACTACAACATAAATCCTATGTAAACAGTTGTTACACTGTATTCTTTAGGAAATAATGAAGAGGAGTATACACATACTCATTACAGAGGCATGTTTTTGAAATTATTTTGATCCACAGTTGAATTCATGGATACAGAAGGCTGAAACTGCATCTGATAGGGACTTTCACCTGCAATAAAGAACTATTACAAGGGGCCAGGGAGATGGCTCAGTGGAATAAGTGCTTCCCTGGCAAGCACAAGGGCCTGAGTTCAATCCCTGGTTCCGAAAAAAAAAAAAAAAAAAAAAAAAAAAAACCTATTACAATTCA